TAAAATGATAGTCTTGGGCAGAAAGGCCTCTGATTGCGAAATTGGAGGTTTTCAAGAGCGTGGAAACACCTCTTAATTGCTATAATGCTCAGCCCTGCCCTGCCCTGAGGTGGTAGCAACCGTTACGGTCACAGCTATGCGTAAATGGAGAATTAGCGATACATATTTATAGCAAAATGACCAACAATACATTTTATACCAAAATGACCAACAATATATTTTTATATCAAATTGACCAACAATACATTTTATACCAAAATGACCAACAATACATTTTATAGTAAAATTACCAACAATACATTTTATAGTAGAATTACCAACACTACATTTTATACCAAAATGACCAACAATATATTTCATCAGTACTTGAAGACATACAAATTGAGTTCAAAATATATTTAGTTCAAACCATAAAATTGCGTTCAAAATATTTAGATTTTGGCATTAAATAACCAATAGAGGTGTTGATATGCCGCGAAAGGAAATCAACAACTAACCAACATGAAAGAACTCTTTCATGACATTAATCCATATAATATCCTACAATTTCTTAAAGAAATCTAAACTGTATTCCAAAATATAACTTCAATAAAACTACAACATAAAACGCACATATCACCGCCTCTTAGTAATTATGTCCCCACAAACATGTATATGCACAAAAGCTGTGTATCGGCCATGTCGGAGGTTTTTCCCGTTGGAACCAACGGCCGTGGCCAAGCTGAACCTTTTGTGGCTGTGGTTTGACCAGGAAATGGATTGTCTTCAGCAGGTCGAGTTGCCCAAAACACAGGAATACCTCTCCATTTTTTGTCCATATTTCTGAGATGAGGTCGCGTAATTATTTACACTATTTACAATGTTCGGACCTTTGTCTTCATCTTTGTTGCCATATTCATGACGTTTTTGCCGTTTTACGCACCGGCCTTCTTCAGGTGATTGGAATTTCTAACTGAACCCTTTATTTCGTCCACCGGAGTAGATTGTTCTCGTTGCATGTGCCATACTTCTTCGTTTGTCTCAATATCAGTTAGCTCCCTTTGATTTAACTCTCTTTTTTTCACCTCATCTGTAGCCAGGTATTGAACTTACAACTCTTTGGGCCAAGCCACTGGATTCAATCAACGCTTTTATGCACTGGGCCATGTGTCCTTGAGGACGCAGTTTTTAACCTAGATGATGATGAGACGGTTTCGAACCCATGTTTCGAATTTTAATTTTTAAGGCTGACAGGTCGCCCCTTGGATGATTGGAGGCATACAAACCGTTCGCATCATTATTGACATCAGACACACTTATGCCTTGATTGTAGTCATTACCGACTGAAATATTGAGAATAAATTACTGTCCATAGAGGCGTTTCCTTAGATAGGTCACCTTCAGATAACTGTCTACCTGTCCACCCATAATTCATTTCGCTGGAAGGAGAGTGTAACACTTTGCAGAAGTAGAATAATAATAATAATAATAATAATAATAAGAAGAAGAAGAAGAAGAAGAAGAAGGACAAGATCAGGGAGGTAGAAGAACATACGCTATAAGAAGGAAGAGAAATATACAAGAACCAAAATGAAAAGAAAAGGAGTGGTATTTGCTGTTATTGTGGTTACTTTGATAGACTTCAATAAAAGATGGTTGCAGATGTTCAAATGAAATAAAGATGGCGGCGATTAATAAATATGTGAACTGACAAAAAGAGGAAAAGATGTTGAGAAAGATTTAAATAAATAGAGAAAGAGAAGTAGCGAGGACAATACACTGGGAAGGAGGCAAACAAGATGAACAGGCTGAAACAGATTGATAATTACGATCTGATCTGTCTGTCATTCTATCTATCTATCTATCTATCTATCTATCTATCTATCTATCTATGTCTGCCATTCTCTTTCTCTATCTATCTATCTATCTATCTATCTATCTATGTCTGCCATTCTCTTTCTCTATCTATCTATCTATCTATCTATCTATCTATCCCATTCTCTTTCTCGATCTATCTATCTATCTATCTATCTATCTATCTATCTATCTATCTATCTATTCTCTTTCTCGATCTATCTATCTATCTATCTATCTATCTATCTATCTATCTATCTATCTATGTCTGCCATTCACTTTCTCTATCTATCTATCTATCTATCTATCTATCTATCTATCTATCTATCTATCTATCTATCTACCTTTGCATAGACAGATACAGAGGAAACACAGAGATTGATTGATAAGAACTGACTGAATTAGATATGAATAGATTGATAGATTGATTGATCTATAATGAACTGTATTGAAAGATTGCTCAAGATAGAAGGATGAAGAAAAAAGGTAAAAAGAGGCACCTGTTAATCACCAAGCATAGATTTCTATCACATAGATAGAGAATATTTTGCAAGACAAAATTTTAGGAAAGAAACTCCAATCAATACTGGAAAGAGCGATAACAGCTAGTGGACATGAGAAACTTATTTTCCTGAAGAATTTTTGAAGTAGAAAGATTACCATTACTATCGCCAAGTATATATTTATATCATATGGATAGATCAGATTTTTCAAGAGTCGAATGTACTGGCCACTGTGAAAGATAAAAGCCTGGGTTGAGCCAGCTTGTCCATACAGAGGAAGATTGGTTTAAGCTTGATCATTTAAGTACAGTATTTACATTAGTCGGACTATTGTCCTCATCTTTTTCGCCATATTTTGTCCAACGTTTCGGCCGTTGTACGCTCAAATTTCTTCAGGTGGTTGGAATTTCGAACTGAACCCATATTTCGATCACTGAACTGTTCTAGTTCCACGTGCCATGTTTGATGGATGCCAGTTATCAGTTAAAGAGAATGCTAATTTTCCTCTGAAAGTTCTCCACTACCTTAACCAACGCCTTTATCCACTGTGCCATGTGTCCTTGAGGACACATGGTACAGTGGATAAAACGTTGGTTAGATCCAGTGACAGGACCCAAAGAAGGTGAGTTCAATACCTGGTTAAGGCAGTGGAGAACTTTCAGAGGGAAAATTAGAGAAGATAACTGATAACTGACATCCATCAAACATGGCACGTGAACTAGGTAACAGTCTACATCAGTGAGCGAAAAATAAAGGGTTCAGTCTGAGGGAATTCCAACCACCTGAAGAAGGCCGAGCGTACAACGGCTGAGATAAAACGTTGTGACAAATTGACGACAAAGATGAGGACAAAAGTCCGACTAATGTAAATAGTGTACATAATACCTCATCTCAGAAATATAGACAGACTTTGATCATTTAAGCTTAATGTGTATATGGTATTCATTTAAGTCGAATTTTGCTTATAGGCACCAAAAGCAACCTTGAATTTATCTTAACACCAAGCGTTTTAAATCTTAGGTGGATTGTTTTCTATATTTTCAATAAAGGTTTGCTTCGGATCGTACCTAGTTTGTTATATTGTAGAAGAAAATCCGATAAAAGATGGAAGGAGGAGAAATATAGAAGAACCTGTATGTAAAAAGGTTATTATGATTATTTTGATACACTTTTTTATTCATTTAGCCCTAAGCAAGGCTATAAAGCCACTACGACGCAGTGTGAATTGATTTATTGATTTGTTTTTTATGGCCTATCAACACTTTGCAGGTTATTTAAAGCCAGAAAATATTTTTGATTGTACGAATTGGAGAAAATAATGATTTACTGATACAAGTCCTACTAATTAATCTATATCTGGGGTGGGGGAAGAGGTGAAGTCATATCTTTACCAAGTGTATTTGCAAGTAGGTGAATATAACGAACCTAACCAGAATTGGAACCTGGCTCTCCAATTTTTAATTCCGTGACGTTATCTATTACACCACCCGCACATTAATGCTCACAGCACCTGATCTTCCAGAACGGTCATCCATCTTGGCCCTGAGTAGGTTTGACGTTCCGTAACTTCGGTAAACGTAGGAGAATCGGTGTTTCAAGGTGATGTGGCCATAAGCTTACTGAGTGTGAAAAAATGCGAGAAAAAGAAAAACGAGAGGACAATAAAAGAACAGGTATTAAAAAAACAGAAGATAACAATTGACATTACATTTCACTTTTTGAAGGTCAGAGTAGAGTGGAAACCAATACGTTCAGAAGAGCGTTTCAAAAATGAAAACAAAAAAAGAAAAAGAAAAAAGGAGCGTGCAGATTTTAAAATGAAATACGAGCTGAAATAGATATGAACAGATTAATAGATATAAAGATAGATAACACAGTTATAGCATTTTTTTTTGTTTAATTGTATCATCTCATGCAAGCCAGTGAAGCCACTAAGACACAAGAGGTCACTGAGTGTGAAAGAATAGGAAAGAAGAAAAAAATCATTAAAGAGTGAGAACAATAGAAGAGTAATCAAGAGGACAGTAGGTAATGATTGATATTGCATTTACATTTTAAAAAAACAAAGTTGGCTGGAAAGCATAGAGCCGGAAGAGAGCTCCACACGCGAGAAGAAACTGTTAGCATAGAACTTACAGTTGCATCTAGCCAATTTATCAGTAAATCTCATCGATTTACAGATAAATTTAAGAGCAGATTTTGCTCTTAAATTCATAAACTCTAGGTATCATAGAGGAAAAGTTCATCAAAACAATTACCATGAAAATATTTACAAAAAAAAAAGCACAGTGAAGCTACATTACGACAGTGGGAAAGTGACTGAAGCCGAGATGCCATGTCAGGACCAATAATATTGTGGATTCTTTTTTGGATCTTAACAAGAATCTCTAAATATACAGCAGGAGCACCGAACCATACCTTGCAGCCATATTAAAAAAATGTGGACGTATGGTAGACTTATAAATATGTAAGATAGATTCTGGTGAGAAAATTGCCAAGCACGATACAGTGAGGCAACTTTCTTAGCAGCAGACCTAGCAATGGATTCAATATCGTTTTTCCACTTCTTTGCAGAGGATGTTAGCCAGAAAAAGCATGACGAGTCACTTTCCTGGGGGTGGAGGTTAGCATCAGCCATGCTGATGGGGGGCAGGAAGGGGTCTTTCAGGTGATTGAAAAATACATTGGTTTAAAAAGGGATGACGAACAAGGGTAAAAAATAGAAAAAAATCTGTTAAAGAGAAAGAGAAGGAAAGCAAGAGGGATTTGACAAACAAAGGTAGAGACAAAAGGGGGCAGAGATTGAGAAGAAGGAGGGAGAAAATGATAGATAGAGAGAGAGAGAGAGAGAGATAGATAGATAGAGAGAGGGAGATGCAATAGAGAGACAAACAGGCAAGAGTCAGGCTAGATTAAGAATGGAGCATTGCTGCCATTTAAAGGATAGTGTTGCCCAGTTCTCACTGTGTCGCTTGGGTAGAATTTAAATGTTTGTGGGGGGGGGTGAGTTGTTTTCCACCACACAACCACTTTGCTATAGACCAATCGTTAGTACACTCTCACTACTCTATAGTTATGACTATGGCATATATTAAAACGAGTTACTTTCCTTAGTTTTACTCGCTCAGACTTTCACTCACAGCTTGGACACGCCATGACATGGACACAGCATCAACTCGTCCTTATTCCGTTCGTATTCCTTTGGTAAGGATGAAATCCCACACAGACAGCCTCTTCTCCAGAACTTGTCACTTTGACATTGCTTCCCCGACCACTGCAATCTTAATCTCTTCGGGTCCAGGGTCAAGCGATAGCTATTTTACATATGCTCATGAGATGTATCTATTCCTCCTTTCTCCTCACTTACACACTTACAACAATCTCATTCAGTAACTATCTACCTTGAGCGGCTCTTTGGTCTTGTATTGGGTATATGTGTTATGGGATCTTACCCATAATAATAATAATGGACTATTCCATACTTAATAAATACTGCGCCTCTGGAGTAGGCAAGGTGTGCGTCAGTCGCTTTCTCGACTGACGGATCGGTTCAACTCTCTGTCTACGGACGGAGAGGAACCCGAAGGAAGCTACGCCGAAGGGCGGAGTCTCCTTCAGGGAGGTAAAACCGGCCCTGAACCAGTTTATACGGGTTCAAACGGGCATATTTTTGGGCCCAGCCCACGGGCTCGGGAAACCCACAATAAACAACTTGTGTCACATGTTGCCCCAGTTGGGGGGATTCTCAATATCGTGAGTCAGTCGTTCACTTTTGAACCGACTGCTCGGTTGAACTCTCTTCCTACGGACGGGAGGAACCCGTAGGAGGCTACGCCGAAGGGCGGGGTCTCCGTCGGGGAGGTAAAACCGGCCCTGAACCCTTTTATACGGGTTCAATGGGCATATTTTTGGCCGAGCCCACGGGCTCGAAATGCCCACGTTTAAAATGCCTTGTGCCACATGACACCCTCGTGGGGGGGTGACTCAATATCGTGAGTCAGTAGCTCAAGTCGAGTCAAGAGTCGAGTCAGAGGCAGTCCGAAACAGAGTCGCGTTCAAACAATTACTGCAAGACATTGGAATAGTGATACTGGTCGAGACTACATTGTTGTCTCTACTAAACCTGATTGTTCATACTAACACTTCTACTTCTCTGTATATATTCCTGTTTGTAATATATCTGTGTTATTCCATACCTGTGTTCGAGTTCTTTATTGGTTCTACCTTGGACTATCACCGTGGTACAAGGAATCGGACCATAACAATATAATACAAAACAAAACAAACATAAACAGATAGATGGATAGAAAGATAGAGTTAGAGAGAAAGAGAGACAGAGAGAAAGGATAGAAAGTGTGAGAGAGAGAGAAAGACCTGTTTAAGTTTAGAGTTAACCGTTATCTTCCCTTCCTATCCATATGAACTGCCCCTTAATGTAACTCTCTACTCTCGAGTGACCCCTGGTCCTTGTACAGGGTGAAACTTACGGTAAAAAAAGAGAAAAAGATAAAGAAAAAAAGAGAGAAAGAGAGAGAAATAAAGAGAAAAGAATGAGAGAGAGATAGCAAAAAAGAGAGAAAGAGAGTAGGAGGGAAAGAGAGAGAGAGAGAGAGAAAAAGATAAAAATAGTATGAGAGACAGGAGTGAGAGAAACGATATGCAAATGAGCGAAAAGCAATCAACAGGGGTTTTTCTAGACGTATCTGGAGATTAAAAATAGTGTAAATGTTTAACGTATAATGCAAAGTAGTGTGCGAATGTCTTTCATGTATGTATGCGTGTCCAATATTTGATTTATTTGTACACACACGCACGTATACATCTACAGGTAGTGTGTGAAGTGGAGCGAGGGTGAGTGAATAAAAGATTGAGTAATTTAAGTCTGTCAATTACTAATGTACTGGAAGTACGTGAGAGCAAAATGAATGAGACTAAGAGAGAGAGAGAGAGAGAGAGAGGGAGGGAGAGAGAGAGGGAGGGAGAGAGAGAGGGAGGGAGGGAGAGAGAGAGAGTGAGGGAGAGAGAGAGAGTGAGGGAGAGAGTGAGGGAGATAAAGTAAGAGATGAATGGGAATGAAGAAAAGAATAAATAAAAATTTAATGAAAAACTAAACAAAAAATGAAAGAAAAGAACACTTAAAGAAAAAGAAAGAAAACTAAAGAAAGGAAAAGAAAGGAAAAAAATAAAGTATAAAGAAAAGAAAAAGTAAAATAAAAAAGAAAAAAGGAAATACGAAAGAGAAGCAAAAATAAAAAGACTAGGACGGAGGAGAGGAAAAAAAAAGTAAAAACAGGAAAAAAAAAGAACAAAAAATAAAACGTAAAACAGGAAAAGAAAGAGAAAGAAATAGTCAAAGAAAAAAAAGATAAGAGAGATGAAAGGAAAGACAAAGGAAATATATGAAAAGTAAAAAGAAAAGGAAAAAGAAAAGGAAAAAAAGAAAAAGTTAAAGAAGGAATAACGGACAAAAAATGGGAGACAGAAAAAGGGAAATGGAGAAAAGAAAAAGAAAAGAAAAGGCAAAGAAAGAAAAATGAAAAAGAACGGAATAAAAAGAAAAAAATAATGAAAAAAAACGGAATAAAAAGAAAAAAATAATGAAAAAACGAAAGAAAGAAATGAACAAATAAAAAGTAAAAAGAAATATATAAAGAAAGAAAAAGTAAAAATGGATATAGAAAAAGAGAAACGGAAAAAAGAAAAAGAAAAAAAAAACGAATTGAAAACGCAAAAAAAGGGAAGAATAAAAAGAAAAAGGAAATAAAAAAAAAAAAAAAAGTATGCAGGATGAGAAAATGAAATCTGCAAGTGAAAAGGAAGAAATAAATAAAAGAAAAATGACAAAAATATCCTCGAAGTAAGTCATTGATCAATTGAAACACTCCGTCCACCCCTACCCAGTCGTTTTCCTACGCCCGGACTGCCAATCCCATTTCTTTTCCAGCGATTTCTCTGACTGCCGACATCACTCTCATCCGCTGTTTGGTCAGCTGTGGACAACTGGTCGATTTACATGGAAACGGTCATAATAATTCAAGACATTATTTTTTCTTCGTTTTTGTTTTTTATCGAACAAATTCATTCTTTTTGCATTTTTTATTCGTCGTCCACAACTCCATTCCACGCCCGAACCTTTAAACCTTGGATATCAATGCATCAGAGAAGAACGTTTAAAACCGAAAATGGACGAAAGAACAACAACAGCAGCAGAATTCGTACCCGCAGGAGAGAAAACCTTTATTTAAAATTGTCTATTTGTATGTAATATCAATCTTCCAACATGGCAGTGAATACTGGACAATTTCCTCATAGGTGAAGAGGAGACTTCAGGCAACAGAAGGATACTGAAAAGACCATGGACGAAACATGTAAGCAACGAGGAACATGGAAAAATGGAATAAAAAAGGACGCTTGCACTTTGAATCAGAAAGAAAAAGTTGAAATTTCCGAGCTACATACTAAAATAAATTTTAATTTGTTTTTACGTTTTACCAACGTTTTGCAGGTTATTTAAAGCCAGAAAATATCTTTAGAAATTAAGAATTTATTGAAGATAATGATTTAATGATACACGCCCTACTAATTAACCCATATCTGGGGGAGCTATATTCATAATTTTCCTTAGGGTGTTTGCGCGTAAGTGAAATATACCCAATTGGACTGCAGTTGGAAACTCCGCTCTCCGATTTAGAATTCCGAGATGTTATCCATTACAGCACACACACATCCAGGCTTAGAGCATCTAGTAATCCAAAGCGGCCACCCACCTAGGTACTGACTAGGCTTGGTGTTGCTTAACTTGATTTAGTCGTAAGTCACATAATAAAAAAAGAGGGATTGGAGAATTTGACACCCACAGGACAGATTGAAAGCAAGAAGAGCAGAAGGAAACAGTGAGTAGCCTAGCTGACGAGATTGTGTATATCGATGACAGAACAGGGACAAGGAGGGGGCCGTATAAAAAGGCAAGCATTACTTAAAGCTACAGAGGATAGAAAGTTGTGGGGAGCCATGATCGATACATAAAAAAGAAAGCTGTATAACATTTATCCCATCAACGCCTCTGTCATTTTCTCTCTTCACTGCTATTTAATCCATAGCTGGTGATTTTCAAACCTCGGCCCTCTACGAAACGTTGCAAGCCTCCCGCTTCTCTATCTCTATTTCCATTGTAAAAGTTCTGATAAACTACATTCCTTAGTTCCACCAATTCAGAACCTTCACAGTTATAACCTGTCATGTCACGTATACACAGTAAAATCATTCTTAGTCACTTCGTATTTCATTGATAAGAAGGAAATTTCCACCCAGAAAACTTTCTCCTGAGAACTTTTACTTCGTGGAAAAGAATCCCGAGAAGATGCTTTTCTGATCGCTAAAATCTTAACCACTTTGTCTAGGGTCGAATGCTATCACCCTTATCTATATAACCTGCTCTTACTTCCTCTTCATACAACAACCTCACTCAGTAACCCTCTACTTTGATTGGTTCTTAGTCCTTGCTTTGGGTAAATCTCTATCTATAAAAGGCAGTATGTGTGTGTGTGTGTGTAACGAATGCACGGCCGCAATTTTCGACGGATTTGCACCAAAATTTACATGCACATGCTCCAAGTTAGCGAGAAGGCCAAGACCGACTTTGCACTTCCCAACTCCCATCGATAGTGGAAATAATCAGATTTTTCATGCTTCTACGGCAGTTTTTATGTACTTTGCGGCGATTTTCTACTGGCCAGAGTGAGAGCCAATAGCTGGCTGCCACGAATAGGCAGGAAGATTCTATTGGCCAGCATGAGATCCAACAGCTGACTGACACGAATGTTAACTAGCATGCTAGCATGGAAAAAAAATCGATAGCTGCATTCGTCACAAGTGGGAAAAATTTAAATCTGCATGGCACTTTATTCCAATTGGCTCATTCGCTTGCTTAAACTCAACATTGATTCTGATTCTGCAGAACTGGGTTGGGTGTGAAAAAGTATTTGTTGTTAACATTTTTTTTTCATTCGGTTTTTACAGTTACGAGTCCTTTTTTTTTAAAAGCTGATCGTTTTGTGTTCATTTTGTTTAGTTCTTTTTTCGTAACAGATTTAATGTTTAGTATAGAGCTTAGAAAAAATTCGCAATGTGAGATAGGCAAGAAGTAAGGCGTGTAGCAACATCAGCACGGCAAAGGGCACTCGTTTAAAGGCAAGGAAGGGCAAAAATATTTTAAGTCAAGTGATAGCGATTGCTGTATGAGTCGTACGATTTTTGAATCAAGCACGGGCAACGCCGGGCCATGCTGCTAGTATTTAATAAAAAAGCCCGTCTTGGGCAAACAGAGCCATATCCCTCTCGAGTTTAACCGGACCTTACTATCGAATAAAGAAATATAGCATATATATATATATATATATATATATATATGAAGGTGACGGTCATTCCCATCATTAATGGCGCATTTGAAAGAAGATTTGTTGTTACGTGATCTCTAGTGAAGGCCATTACATATTCTTGTACATTTATATGTCTTCTTTTCAGTCACGGTTCCCACGACTCCTTTTAGCTCTAAGAAACGTTTGACTATTTATTGTTCAACTTCGTCTTCACTCTGCCTTACATTACTATATTTTCTCTTTCGTCAGCATTCCCTGTGAGTGTTAAATTTTCCAAGCCCTCTTTCTTCACAATGTCCCAGAAACTTCAACACGCTCTTTCTGATTTTAAGTATTAGCATGTTTTTTTTTTTTAGTTCTCATTTTCATGAGAACTTATTCATTGCTCAACTGTTCTCTCCATGTTATTCCTAGCAACCATTTATCCTCTGTCGCTTCGAGGTTATTCCTCATCTGTAAGGGGATTGTCCCTCATTCACTGCCGTATAGGATAGAAAATATTAAATAGCAGTTCAGCCCTCTTCTTTGCTTCTAAAAGCATTTTACTTTGTTTAGTTTCTAGAAAGCTTCTTTCCCTATTCCGATTCGCCTTCGGATTTCGGTGTCATATTTTTCACACTACCCCGATTGTTGATTTTTATTACTTGCTTGCTTTTGACATCTCCATTTCATAGTTGGCATCTTGAAGTAGATAATATATAATACATATATCGAGCTCTTAGAGTGTAAATTACCATAAAGTAGAACTGGGGCTTTTTAATCTGGGAATTCGTGGGAGAATTGAGCTCCAATTTCCCATTTATTCATATAGAGTCCATAATATAAGTTTTACTTAATTAGCTATTATGTTCTCTTAACTCTTCTAATGTTGAATGCATAACTAATTCTAATTTCTATTTTCCCATCTTTACACTATATTAATTTTATCTTATAAATTGTCCCCTGTTCTGTCACCCATGAAAAATAAAAATAATTGAACGGAAAATAAGGATCTACGTACATCAAATCGTCTTTATTAAATTAAGTGGCAGCAGAAGAATTATCGTTGAACTTTTAAAAGGTAAGTTTAGACATTAATTCAATACTTAAATGCAGCAATCAATTTTGAGTTCTTCTGTAGTTTATTGATGCCTATCGCATCTACTCCTCCCTAGCTTTTGTGATGATAGCCAAACCAAGAGTCCTCCAGAGGAGCTAGCTTAAGTGCCTCCCGATTCTATGGATTATCATACACTTTGCAGGTTATTTAAAGCCAGAAAATATTTTTAGATTGTGAGAAATATTTTTTGAGATAATAATGATTTAGTGATACGATTCTTACTAATTAATCCATAGCTGGAGGAGAAGAGGTGGATTCATAATTTTGCGAAGGGTATTTTTTCACGTAAGTGAATTTAATGATCCCCACTAGAATTGGAACTCGGCTGTTCGATTAACAATTCCGAGTCATTGTCCATTACACCATCCTCACACCCAAGCTTACAGCACCTATTAATTCCAAGCGGTCACTCATCTAGGTACTGACCAGAATCGACGTTGCTTAAATTCGGTGATCGCCTGGGAACCGTTATTTCAACGTGATATGGCCGTAATCCTCTACCAATATTAGGCGACAGCTTTTATATTCTACAAGACATGAAGCAAGAAGTTCTGTGGATGTAAATTTTGGAGTTGGCACTGTTTTCTTATTTTGTGATTGCCACCTTTTCTTCTTTTTCTGTTGACATGCAAAATCCGCTTTTCATCAGCTGTAGAAATGCGACGCGAAACGAAATTTAAGCATTTCTGGTTAAAAGATTGCTGGAGACGGTAGAATGTTGTGTTTGGTTATATGACAAAAGCTAATAACGAACTCAAATTAAACTCTAAATTGCTTACTAAACAACACGCTGTCGGGTAGAAGAGATGTTAAACTAATTCCAGACGCAGTTTTCTACTATTCAACCTGTTTCTGCTGTTGTTGGTTGACGCAGTATTTATTGCGATAAAATACGTAATTACTTTCAGAGCACTCTAATTTTTAATAATGAATAGAGGCTTTTATAATATTGCCACCTTTACCGTTACAGTAAAAGCGTTTTATTTTCTCTCTCCACCAATAATGTATAGAAAACTTAAACCATCGTCACTTCCCCCGACGAGAGATAATTTCTACTTCTTACTCATTTTGAATGAACTTTGAAATCCTATCCAAAACTGAAACACCTTCCCAGCTCTTTCAAAACAAAGTAAAAAAAAAAAAAAAATACCCGGGAATATATATATCATCGGTTCAACTAAACCGAAATGAAATATTTTGTATACCCCGCCTCGTTCTGGAGTGGTCCTGGGCAATGGATTCCCTCATGATGGCAGGTCTTGGGCGACGGGCTCCATTCCATAATAACGTTGCCTTCTTCTTTCACAGCCGGTGATCGCTAGTTGCTTCGGAGATAAAAGAACTTCAACAAAGGGGATTTTAACTTGACTAGTTTATTAAACACGTCGACGTGTATATTTCTAAATATCCAGTGGGGTCGCTCTCTCACCCCACTGGGGAGCAGATCCAGAAATGAAAGAACCTGTCTACATTATTCGACGTGTAAGAACCAACTCCCCGAAAAACCTTTCTCTACCTAACATTCCCACGCTAGTTCAGCCAATCAAAATCGACTTCCTTTATTTTGTCTTGTATCTGACCCCTAAGGTCAAACTGAGGAAGTCAGAGCAGAAATACACTTCCTTGAAAAAAAATAATACTCTGCTAACTATTATTTAACAATATGAAAGCAATCCAGAAAAGAGATCACTTTGTCAAGCCTGGGACATGCAGGTGAAAGTCATGACCATCATTACTAGAGCACTGGGAACAATCCGAAAAAATCCCCGTAGCAAAAAGAGTGGAAGAACAGATCATCTGGGGAAGATATTATGCCACGTAACTGTTAAGCCACAATAATGAGGAAAGACCCAAAAAGACTTGATGTCGCTTGATTTGCAAATTCTGGTGTGAAATTAGTTCTGGGTATGACGATAAACTACATCCGGTAGCAAGGCATCCGATCAAAAAATTTCTAATTACAGTTGCTCCTAGGTTCACCCTGTCCTGGCGTGGTAACACCTGTTAGGGTTCCAGCTATGGGCAAATAGTGAACTCCGAAACAAAATATAAAATACATTTTTATAGTAAAAATACCAGCAATACATATTTATATAAAAATACCAACAATAATTATTTATATCAAAATTGACAACAATAGAATTTAAAAGCAAAATGACCAGCAATACGATTTTATAGCAAAATGACCAACAGTAAATTTTATTTGCAGTTGAAGGCGTACAAATGCTTTCAAAATATTTGGATTTCGGTATTAAATAATCCATAGAGGTTGATATGCTTCTAAAAATAAAATCAATCAGCCAAATGGTGTGAAATCAGACATAGTAATATATTATCGGGGATGTATCTTGTGCTAAACTGGTTGTAACACACACACACTAACATATATATATATATATATACATATATATACAGTGTAACTCGGATATAAGGGACCAGGATATAAGAGAAACCCGGATATAAGAGAGATTTTCTGGTCCTAAAGTAGAGCCTGTGTTAATGTATATAAAATAGACCAAACCTGGATATAAGAGAAACCCGGATATAAGAGACTTATCTGGTCCCGACAATTCTCTTATATCCGGTTACACTGTATATATATATATATATATATATATATATATATATATATATATATGTGTGTGTGTGTGTGTGTAAAATTCTCAGAATATATCTATAGAAAAGACAAATTGAATAAAATAGACAACAGTAAAACAGTACGGTCAAAACTAAGTACTGGTTTCATATTGTCAGTTTTATATATATATATATATATATATATATATATATATATATATGGATATGGAGAGAGAGAGAGAGAGAGAGAGAGAGAGAGAGGGGAAGATCTTCTTCATTCCTTTAAAATCGCGCTCATTCTAGGGCTTCGTAGGACTTTTAAATGATCGCTCATTTAGCACCGATCGAGTAGAATGGTTTTAGTATCAGATGTGGGCAACTAAAGTTGGGATGCCAGCGCAGATCGTTAAAAAGAAACCCGCTATTCGGAACGTTTTTATATGATTGGTTTGAATGGAAGACAACGGATAACGTCTTGTGGGTGGTAAGGGCGAAAGACATTTAGGGAACAAGTGAAAGGGAGAGAAAAAAAAAGTTTGAAATAAAATAACCAATGCAAGGGAAGAGCATAAAAATACCCATAAATCCGCTGCGCATGTGCGTATTTTTATGCGAAAGTGTTGAACATAGTCAAAAAAATATCCTTTATGAAAGATTAGATATATGATAAATTGCCTACATACGAATTCAAGCAACTGAAATGCAAAACATTTGTGTCAGGGGAAATAGAACAGTGGTTGAGTATGTGTGGCCATGAAACTTCGAAGTAAACATAAGTGAAAAAACTTTAAAAAATAATTCAATTAATATATATAAAATAGTCATTCAAAGAATAAATTAATTAAATTCAATGTAATTAATGGCGGACTAATTTCGCTAACAGATTAAGAAGGCATTAACTCACTGATCACTCGCTGAACGACACGATTCTTGTTTTATTAAATGTACAATGGATTAGATGTTCGGTTCATATTGCTTGCAAGCCCTTTCGGTAAAAACATTTACCATCCTCAGGCATAGATGTTATTTTTTTCTTCAATTTCAGGTAATTTCGGGTAAAATTCCAAGGCGAAAATGAATGTGATATTTGTCGAAAAATGTTTTATTAACAAGTGTGCTATTATTATCAGTTAAGATTTTTTTTGAACGTGTAGTAATGCGACGCTAGGTTTTCGAATATTGTAGTAATTCAGAATTTCTATTACTGTAGGTGTTTGGGCCATTGACGTGATATGGACTATTGGTCCAATAATTAGAGAAATGTCTTAGAAGATTTCAGAATTTTTTTTTTAATTGCAGATCGAAACTATTTTAAATTAATAAATAATGTAGCTTAATTAATATTGTAAAATAGTCATTCAAAGAATAAATCAATTAAGTAAATGTAATTAATGGTGAAATCACTTCGCAAACAGATTAAGAAGTGATTAACTTTTTTTTAATATATATATATATATATATATATTTAAAGATATTTTTATAGGTACAAAATTTAATGATCGAAATAAAAGTATAAAATTTAATATTACAAGACATATTAAAACAATATTAAATAATTATAAAAAAAAAACACAACAACAACGGGGTGGGGGGAGCAACCGGTTTCGCTCCCGCTCTTCAGGCTTCCACGGGAGATTCAAAATTAAAACAGAAAAATCTACAATAAGAATAGGTGGAATATATATATATATATATATATATATATATATATATATATATATATATATATATATATATATATATATATTTATATATATAAGAAGGAACTAGAGGCAGATGACAGCGAGTCCCAGCAAACACTCACCTTGTTTGCACAAAGAAGGCTTGCGGGACCCGATGTAAAGTGCCTCTAGAACCTTCAGATGAAATACAGAGTGTGACCGGGCCAACACGGTGAACCAGTCAACACTAAATTTGGCTGCACAATATCTGCTATTTAAAAGATGTTCACATATGGCACCTACAGTTCCGCCATATGCGATACATTTTGTTCTTCTTTTTACTCTCAGTAATAAGAGGACAACGAAAATATATGTATTGTTGTAATCCGAAAAATGCTATTAGAAATATATTTTCGTTGTCCTCTTATTACTGAGAGTAAAAACAAGAACAAAATCTATTCCATACCTGAGGATGTCTGTAGGAACAGACGAAAGCTTGTAAAAATAATAAGAACTGATGCAACAGAGATTTATAGAAACAAGGATCTTTTCATTCATAAACAGGTTCGGGGATTTTGTATATTATTTGAATTGTTCGCAGCGATGAATTTCTCGCCAATTAAATCATTAACCTTTGTATTTGTTTTTTATGAATAATTCATCAATTTGTAAATTGATTGCACCTTTATTGAAATTAAAATAACTGATCCAAATGCAACTTTTGGATAATAAGTGCGACATTACTGTAATTATTAAACAATAAAGTTCATGCCACTTTGACAGAAAATTTACCAGTAAAAAAGAATTCACTTATCACCATATTTGTATAAGAACGCACAATTGTAAAATTTAAATTCAAACTCAGCGTTGCGACAGCACGCTCAAAAAACAATAACTCATTTCTGATAGCATTTTCGGATTACAACAATATATATATTTTCGTTGTCCTCTTATTAGTGAGAGTAAAAACAAGAACAAAATCTATTCCATACCTGAGGATGTCTGTAGAACAGACGAAAGCTTGTAAAAAATAATAAGAACTCATGCAACAGAAATTTATAGAAACAAGGATCTTTTCATTCATAAACAGGTTCGGGGTTTTTGTATATTATTTGAATTGTTCGCGACGATGGATTTCTCTCCAATTAAATCATTAACCTTTGTATTTGTTTTTTGTATGAATAATTCATGAATTTGTAAATTAATTGCACCTTTATTGGAATATATATATATATATATATATATATATATATA